ATCTACACGATCCCTCCTGTACAGGGTATAGCCATCTATAATGAATGGCTGGATTTATGTTTTAAAAGAGACTGTATATCTGTGGCTAAAATGAAGGAGAATGGGATTAGCATTTTCTATTTCCTAGCTGTGACACAGTTTCAGACGAGGGCCTGATCCAAGTCTGCTGATGTAAAGGGAAGGACCTCCATTAACTTCAGTGGTTTTAGGATCAGGTCCTCTGTGAACTCTTTGTATCACATCTGTAGACAACGGCATTATAACAATACATGTCACTTACAGTGGAGCTGTGAAGCTTAAAAATTGTTTTTTGTAAAAATCTATGAGAGCCTTGGATAAAAGGTGGTACAAAACTGCAAAGTGTTATTACTTAATATTAATAGTTAAAACCTAATGAAAACACTGCTTGAAAGCTTTAAATTACCACTTTAATTTACACCATTTTGAGTTTCAATAAAATAGTTTGACTATACATTTAAACAAACTTTCTCTACTCTTGTCTCCTTAGAAGAAAACCTACCAGTGTATCAAGTGTCAGATGGTTTTCTACAATGAATGGGATATCCAGGTTCACGTTGCAAACCACATGATTGGTAAGTGAAGCACCAAACCTTGTTAAAGATAGATAACTGTATCTCCTCCACATGTTCATCGTTGCCTGTAAAATTAAACAGAGTTAAGGAGAAATTAATTGTGCAACCTTCAATGATTTACCCAGGCATGATTGATTTTTTTATTCATATTATTAGACTTGATAAAGCATTAGCATGTTTTATTTTCTGCAAGGGCTAGTTTAGACTTCTGCAGAGAATTATTTATCTACTGCCAGTCAAAACACAGGTGATTAACAAATTAAACTTCTAATCATTTTAGCATTATTGAAAACAAACTAACAGGAATGGTTAATGAACTGGATGTTAGCTTTCCATAGAGTTTTAGACAGGTTTTAATTTCGGAAGTTATTATGGTAATGACACTACTGTGTACTGCTCAAGCACCTTGGTACCAGAATCAAAACTGGTGAGTTTTTGTCATTAGGAAACATAAATAATTCAAATGGCCATAAAAATAGTAGTGTATGTCGTGTTTGATCAGTGTGGAAACAATTTTGTGTGCCTTTGTATAGAATTAAATACTAAAGCATATTTTTAAAAATAAGAAATTATTTATTATTCAATTAGTTAGTGTTAGCATTAGTATTAAGTTATAGTATTCAAGAATGGTCTGCATTTTTTCCATACTATTTTTAAAAATAATTTATATTAGAATTCATGGCTTAATATTAGCAGCAGTGTTACAGTTGTGAAGTATAATAAAACAAAAGCAGTCCTTTTATATTTATATTTTCCCATTATTTGCTTATTCCCTTAAGATTACCCAACAATGTTTTCAATTTGGTAACCACTCTATAATAGTACTAAGAGTTCTACCAGCCAATTAAATTTATCAAGCACGTCATTTCCCCGCTAATACAATAACATTGCCATAGTTGTCTTATTCTGTTATTAGCCTCTTTTCCAAATTTCATATAGCAAGGCAAAGATGGGAATCATTGATTTTTATACTTACTTCACACTGTTTTTGTTGAGACATAAAAAATTGGTGCAAATTGCAGGGGACAGTAGAGTAGAGATGTTAGTAATCATGTACTCAGCTGATGAAAATTTTTAAAAAATCATATAACTCAGATATATCTGGGCTGGCATTACAAGATATTTTCTTACAAGTAACTTGTAAATTTCTTCCATGAGCTCCAGTAATTTGGCCAGCCTATAAAAGTTACCTGAGAAAACATAATAAGCTGTTTCTCAAGCTACTTCATTAATAAGTTTTAATGTGTTTAAAGCTTGAACATTTTATGTTCCTTTCATAAAAATGAATAAATGCGAATTATGAGCTTGCCTTGCAAAGCAGTTGAGCAGTTTGTTTGTTGGATTAAGTCTCATTTCTGAAATACTAAATCTTTGGGAGAGATAATTTGAACAGCTCCATAATATTCAGTCTGTATCAGTAACATGAAGTTGTAAAACAGGACATTTTAAATAACAGAACATACTTTTCCTGTTGTTTTATTTGAACCTGGTGTTTTTAATGGGCTTTTGCAGCAAATAGTGGATACTGAAAATTTGGCAAGTGGAAGTTGACTCTTTGGGTATGTCTACAAGTCACAGTACACTGGAATGTAGAGATAGCTGACCTAGGTCATTAAGAATTAGCTTGGGTACCAGTCAGTATAGATGTATCAATGCTTTTCTCCTGCGCTAATTGATACTGGTGAGAAACAGAGAATATTAGCATGGGTAGAGTGCTGTACTAACATGATTATTCTCATTCCCATACCTGAGTTAGTTCAAGTTGTCCTGCAGGACATTGCATTGTACTGTATAGATGGACCCTTTCTTTGTGTGAGCAAAGGATAGCGCTGGAATGTCAGACTGTCTCAGACAGTGTGCTTGCTTGCCACTTGCTTTCCATTTACCAGATTCTCAGTGACTGTGTTCCTCTGCTTCCTTAAATGTTCAGGTTTTCTTTCTTTATTTTGGGGAGAGCCACAGGGGAAGGTAAAGCTAGATGAATCTAGATTAGAATAACTCTTTAGCTATGATAAATATAGAGGTTTTGTCAAACTGAGTAATGCCTTTTGTATTTTATTTCTGAGAGCTGGATGAGGTTGAATGGAAAAGAGGTCCTATTTTTTTAGTACGTGTTAGATGTAATCATGCATGATATTGCTTCATGACATAACCATAGTGACACAGATTTACATGTACTTAATACAAAATCTTCCCAGTGAAATAAAAAAGGAGCTCACAAAACATACAGGGAGATTTGCTGGTCATGGTTTTGATAATCTGTGTTCACTGGAAGAGTTTTATCTGTACTGTCAGACTTAACAGTTTAGCTCTTAATGATGCAACCCTGGTTGAGAAAATTCAGGATTTATTTAGGGGGAGAGAAGAAATTAAAAGAAAAAATGATGAACAGAGTTTTGAACATGTTCTTAGTCCTAAGGTACAAGGAAGAAAAGTTTGTTTTCCAGTTCTGTTAGTTCTCTCAACACTTATTGTTTCGTTCTTTAGCTATTTTTCTAATTTTACTTTTTTCCCCCCACCTTTTTTTTCATCCTTTACTTCTTTGTTCACTGGCATGTTGGACTTTTCCCAAGACCATATTCTATCCACAAAATAGATTAAAGGGGCCTCATCAATCTGTTTAAGGTCATGGGCTACCGGTACCACCTTAGTCAGGGGGCGCACATGGGTGACTGGTGCCACCTTAGCCAGGGGGGATCCCCCCATGGCTAATCTCACTGACTGGGGGGAGGTCCCTCTGTGGCCAATCACGAAGCACTATGGCCACTTCCAGGTGCTCCACAGCACTCCCACTCCCCAGCCAGCGCTCGGAGGTGGGGCACTGGTGCTCCTGCCTCCCCCCCTGCCTGTTGCCTGAGTGGCGAGGCAGCTGGTCGGGGGTGCACTGGACTCTCAGGGGGTGTACATGCACCCCCATGCACCCCCTACATGTCACCACTGTTTAAGGTTGACATTATTGTGTCTGGTGGGGAGGGCTATAATATTATTGTAAAGTGTATAAAACAAGTACATATGCACATTTGTGTGTGTGTGTGTGTGCACGCATGTGTACACACGTGCATCTATAAAATACATGCACACATACACAGTTAGACATATGTGTTTCTCTATTTATTTGTAAAAATAAATAACTAAAATACATAAGTAACTATTAGCACTTGCTTGTCTTCCATAAAACCCTGGTATTAGAGCACCTCCATTCATATGCTCCCTCAAACCAAAACTGTAAGCAGTAGAGATGCCAGACCTCACTGACAAAATAGTACTTGCTGGTTTCATTCCCCAGGTAAAAGGCTTCATAGGCTAGGACACAGTGCATTTGCCCCTGCAGGGGAAGTGACGTGAGGCTGCAGAGAAGGAGAATGGTCTGGACAGGGAGGAGAAAGAAATTAGCTGTGGGGACAATAACTTCCTACAGGTCTGGAAGTTGTATCCTATCTCAAGAGCTATTTTATCCCTTTTAATTAATATGTTGCTGGCACTGCCAGTATTTCAGTTGTGGTTATTGACAGATAGAGATTAACATCTCATATCCAATGGGCTCCACATAAATCAAAGGAGTGAAGAGGGCATGGCGATGGTGATGAAAATAGTTGCAGGACCTTTGCTCACCATCTGTACTTATCTGCTATTGAGTCTGGCAGCAGTTTAGTTGAAGGCCCACCCACTACTGTCCCTACCCTCATGGCAGACTACTGCTAGGCACTAGTGCAGATAATGACTGCATCGCTCCGGTGCAGAGTTGTTAGTGCACATGTGATCAGGTCTGGTGGAGCTGTCACTGGACGTTACTATTCTCACCAGAGGGGTATTGAAAGAGGGAACTCCTTATTCCTATCTCCTAAAGAAGTCAGAAGTTAAAAGGGGAATATAAAAAGAGCAATAAAGTAAAAACACAAGAAGAGAAAGATAAGAAGCTGACAAGTATGAGAAGGACTATGGCAAAATAGGAGATGTGGTAACAGCCGGGAGGGAATGAGGGGAGTGGAACCAAACCACTGCAAGGGGATTCCATCAGATAACGACTGGGCACCACTGTTATAGAAACATGTTTGACTGATTAAAGTGAAAAATTTGTTCATGCCCTTGGCACTTTGGGGGCCTAATCAGGTTGATAGTGTCCCTTTAATTATTTCATCCATTGACCAAGAATCCCAGGTCTTAAATTGAATTCATGTTGTTAACATCCAGAGAGAGCGGATGCATTATGGAAGGTCACTAAGGCAAAGATACGTTTAAAAAATCCCAGTGTGAAACTTAGACTTTTAAATAAGGCAAGCAGTATTACTTTGTTGGCTAAAATATCTCCACCGAGGGTAGATATTTTTAGGTTGTGTGTCTGTGTGTGTTTTTGTCTAATCAAATATAATCTCAACTAGACATTTAGCAGGGGAAGAGGGATTAGAGGCTATTTGAAAAGCCTCTTACTCTTCTCTGTTAAGAGGGTATATAGTGTTTTTACAGATTTTATTATACATTTCAATCAATTCAACAAGAGGGATTATGCCACCTAATGGAAAATAAAATCTGCAGATGACCCAATGAAGAGTAACCTTAAGTATCTTTGACAACAAAATAATTTACATTTTTTTTTACGCAAGTCACATATTAAAAGGATTTCAGTGGGATGACTCTTGTCAGTAATTATAGTTATCATTTTTAATCACACTTTACATTTTGAAACTGCTGTACAAACTTTAAACCTCATAGCATCTTTGCAAGCAAGTAAGCAAATAAGCATTTATTATGCCCGCATTAGAGGCAGAGACCTAGAGGAGGACAGGAAAAACACCTTGCCCGATCTACAGAGCCAGTCAGAAGTAGAAAGCTCAGGAGTTCCTGTCTACCAGAAATTTTCTAAACTCTCTCTGCCATATACTTTGTCAAGCATCATCTTTTCTTTTCTCTTCATTCCTTTTTTTGTGCCCAGTTAATGCTATAGTTAATGCTATAGACGTGATTCTCAGCCTTTTAAGGAGCTGTGTGGTACC